AGATCCTCCAGCAGACAAACCAGCTGCCAAATGCTCCTGACCGGCAAAAGTTTATTTTAAACCCAAATATTCCCCCATGCGCTGCGGTGCATTCAGGGAGCAGCGTGATGGAATCTGCAGATGCCGGAGGGGGAGAAGGCAGCACAGCCTGCAGAAAGACAAACCTTCTGCTCCCCAGCTGGAACATGGCACATTTTAATACAGATCAATGCTGCTGACTCAATGGAAACAAAAACTAATAGGCCAGCCGGTGGACCACCCTGTCTTGGGCTTTATCCCATGAGGAAAAGCAACTGTACTGCAAGCTAAATGCAAGTAAGAGACACTGCGGGGGAGGAGGGGCGCTATCTCAGTGTTGAGCCATGCCTTGGCCTCACTGCTAAAGCTACTGGAGACCTGTCAAGATGGAGGAGTCAGAAGGCAATAGCTGAAGTCACTTTAGACTCCATATCACAGTTTACGTCCCCGCTGCTTTAGATATATTCTCCCAACAGGCAACGTGTTTTGAAACACACTTTGGGTGTGTCTACACAGCAAAGTTATTTCGGAACAATGGCTGTTATTTCGAAATAACTATGCGAGTGTCTACACAGCAATTCCGTTATTTCGAAATAATTTTGAAATAATGGACGGCTTATTCTGACTTCGGTAAACCTCATTCTATGAGGAATAATGCCTATTCTAAAATAGAAGACAGGACTGAGCAGCACTTTAAAGACTAACAAGATGGTGCTGGGGACTGCCTGTATGTGTTCACTTTTTTTTTATTGTATCCTTTGGTATATATGGTTGTGCCAATTTTCTTCCACTATTTGATCTGAGGAAGTGGGTCTGGCCCACAAAAGCTCATCACCTAATAAACCATCTTGTTAGTCTTTAAAGTGCTGCATAGTCCTGTCTTTTGTTTCAGCAAGACCAGACTAACACGGCTACATCTCTACTACTATTCTAAAATAGCTATTTCGAAATAAGGCATGTGTAGACTCTCCACTTCTGCTATTCTAAGTTATTCCTCCTGGGGCTCTAAATCGAGATAGCACATCTACATTAGGGAAGCCTGCCTTGAACTAATTTTGAGACTTCCCTGCAGTGCAGACGTGCTATTTCGAAAAAAGATATTTCAGAATAACGATTCCAGAATAGTTTATTCCAAAATAACTGTGCAGTGCAGACGTACCCTTTCTGACCTACACCAATAGAACGATCCTTTGGCTCCTCCATGGTGGATGGCAAATAGCATTTTCCTCATTGTACAGAGGAGACATGAGGTACGGAAAGGTGATGTCACTTGTCTAATGTCACACAGGAACTCAGAGGGCAGGAGCAGCGTTCCCTCTTAGGTGCATGGCAGCACGGCCTCAGAGCTGCTTAATCAGCCCCACCCAGGGGCTCGGGGCTCCGCGTATGGAGCTGCCTGGCTGGGGGAGGGGCACTTCTCTCGTAGCGACAGCACCAGCTCCCTGCTGAGGTCAGAGCAGCGAGTCTCTGCCAGCTGGGGGGGACTCCCAGCTGCTCCCCCCTCAGCAGGGAGCTGCTCCTGCAGCTGAGAGAAGTGTGTCCCTGGCTGGGCAGGGCTGATAAAGCAGCTGTAGGGCCGTGCTACCGCGCAGCTGAGAGGTAGAAGCCTCGCCATTATCGCAACATAGGGTCACCATATTACGAACACACAAGACTTCTAAAAAGTCATCCCGTGTCAAATGCATGCGACTGGTTAAAGAACAGCGCAGCCTTGAGGCATTACAGCAAGAACCTGGTGCACCACCCTCAGTCACCAGCGTTGTAACAAACCCTCACCCCACGCACAAAAGAAAACCAAGCGGCAGAAGGAGTTACGGTAGCTTTCAATTGAGCACCCATGCAACTGCTGTTGTAATATTACATCCTGCTCTGGTGTCCACAGCTCAAGAAGGATGTTTTTAGATTGGAGAGGAGTCGGAGAAGAGCCCTGAGAATGGTTCTAGGGTTAGAAAACCTGCCTTATGGGGCTACGGAAAACAGATTGAGCGCTTTGAGTCAAACCAAGAAAGTCGAGGGGAGAATGGCTCACGGGCTATAAGGAACCAATATTTAAGAAGGGTTTCTTCAGTTTAGCTGAGAAAGGTCTCACAGGATCCAATACCTGGCAGCTGAAGCAAGGCTAATTCGGACCAAAAATAAGGGCCGCGTTGTTAACAGTGCAAGTCATTGATGGTCGGAACAATTTATTGTTTATTGAGGGTCATGGTGGATTCTCCTTCACTGACAATCTTAAAATCCAGATGGGATGTTTTTGCTAAAAGCTCTGCTCGAGGAATGACCTTGGTGAGGATCTATGGCCTGAGTAATACTGGAGGCCAGATTAGAGAACCACAGTCGTTCCTTCTGGCGTAGGCATTTCTGAGTTTCCTAACAGGATTCTGTCACTAGCACCTTCTCTCCAGCTTGGCAAAGGATGTCAAATCTGCCACGGGGGAGCCAACAGCCTGTGTAGGCCAATGGGCAAGGCGGGAGGAGACTCCTGGAAGGGGCGGGGCAAGAGCAGCCAGCCCTCAGCACTGCCTGGTGTGCGGGCCCCACCCCCACAGCCATCAGAACTGCACCGAGTAGCACTCCGGTGGCAATTTAAAGGGCCCTGGGCTCCAGCCACTGCCGCTGCCATGGTAGCAGCAGCAGCAGCAGCTGGGATCCCCAAGCCCCTTTGAATTGCTGGGCCTCGGAGCAAGGGCGCCCCTTTGAATTGCTGGGCCTCAGAGCAAGGGGCCTCTTGGCTCCTCCCCTCTTCATCCATTGGTTGTTCTGCAAATCCTCAAAATTCACCCTTTCAGCTTGAACTGCAACTTGGTGTATTGAAGAAGCGGACTCTGACCAATCCCGCACCGTTGAAATGAGCAGGAGTTTCCTCCTACTGACTACCGGGAACAGGATCAGGGCCTGTAAGACCATCACACAGTTAAGATGACATTGTATTATCGGTGCCCTGAAAGTTATGGGAGACGGGACTGACTGTACTGAAGTCAATGGTAAAACACTTACTGGCTTCCACAGGAACAGGCCTGCTAAAAATAAATAAATAAAAAAAAATAAAGGACAATTTTCTGATTTATATTCTGCTACCAAATAGACAAAGGAAATTAATTTTTTAAAGACTAACTTTAAAGGACAGGAAATTCCGATTTTAGGCTGCCAGTCTGTCCTCAGCTCACCCTGCTGTAAGTACACATCGATATTTCAACAAATATGGTCTTGAAGACTGCAATGGAAGCCCTGTGTCCTAGGTAAAAGCAGAGGCAGGGAGAGGGAGGGAGAGGAGGAGGGGGGAAGGCTGTGGGGAACGGGGGAGGAGGGATTAAATCTGAGTATTCACCTCACATCTGAAATTGCATTGATTTCTCATGGTTTAAAGTCGAGCATTCAACTTAATTCTTTGATTTTCAGCACCCAAGTAAGAAGACTTGTTTCTAATCAAGGAGGATTTCTAGTCCTGGGCATGGCTTCACTCCTAATTTCTAACAAAACATCCTGACAATTAAAAATAAGTAAATAAATAAAGAAAACTGGCAGACAACTGATATTTACAACGTGTTAAAGTAAATTTCAGACAGGCTTTTCTAAATCCATTTGCTCCCCTCTCCTTCCCAACCCTCATGCCTAGAGGCTGATGTCTTCTGGAAAATAGCCAAGTGCACTTAGAAACCATTCCCCTTGTAAAATTTCACATAGTTTCTGCCTACGATGAACCATTTTCACATTTTATTTCCTTCGCTTTATTTTGTTTATTTATTTTATTAGTGCTGAGGACATTTACATAATAATCTGATCCGGATTTTTTTTGCTCAGTTTCTGCCATTTTTAACCATTCATATAAAGTCATAATCTACTGCCTCGTGACCTCAAACAAGGAATAGCCTTTGAGTCTGAAGCAGGTGCAGATGAAGGGCTGTTCAGGCCCTGTTTTCAGGATCCTGGCTCTTTGGTTACAAAAAACCCCATATGTGTCCTTTGTAATCTTTTGGCCGGATGTTGTCAGGAGCAAAAAGGACCGGGTCCAATTTCTTACAGCTGTTCCTTCTGAAAATGCAAATGCTTCCAGCCTCGACCCAGAAACCTGGAAAATTGTATCTCCCCTGCATCCCCGTCAGCCACTGTGCTAGGCAATACTGCCCTCAACCCATAACGAGAGTCCAGGGCTTTAAAACAAAGACCGTCCCCTGGGGGAGGGGGAAAAGGGCGAACAGACTGAAGAAAGCCAGCAATTAACAAGCTCATTTCTATTAGGTAAGAATCCCTCTGCCCCAGGACATCTTACCAATATTTCCACCTGCCCTTCTGTGCTCACACTCCTAAGTGGCTACTGTGTTCTAGCCACATAACTCCTGTCCAGCCGTCCCCGTTCCCACAGTCTGTTGTCCAGGGTTGATGGAGTCCAAAATTTTGATCAGGTCAGTCTCTAGCCCCTAAGGACATCGCTTCCCGAGCTGCTCCAGTGATTGAGCTTGGTTTGCTGGGTAGGGGGCTCCCACTGCTGTCCCACAGGCTCTCTGTGGCTACAGCCCCAAGCCATCTTGGTGCTACCTTTGTACTATCTGCACCTCCTCTCAGCCGGCACCTCCACACCGTCTTCAGCTCCACTCCTCAACACCAACGTCTGTCTTGGTTCCTCTGGGCTGAGCCTTGCGCAAAGATTAGGCAATAATACACGGCCACTGACACTCTCTCCACTCTCTCCTTGCTTGTGTTTTGTCCAGGAACCATTATGCTCCTCTGCTATCCCCTGCTCATGGCCTGGGTAACTCCCACACCAACTGTGCCTGGAGGGAAGTTCTCTTGTGCTTTCATTTCCCAAGAAGGACAACACCGTGGAGCATCCCCAAACTGAAAACTAGATGGTGCTTTAAGCCATAGGACTCAAACAGGGACATCACTGCAGTGATGTCCGCCACAATGGCTCTCTGCTCATTCACCCCTCTGGCCAACAGATCCCCCCCATCCCCCCCCCCCCCCACCCCCCCCCCCCCGCAAGCCTGTGGTCCATCTGAAGCTGCCAAGCAGGTCTGGCCTCTTCTCTCTGTGCACCAGCAGGTGTCGATAGTGAGCTCTCTACATTCTAAGGCTGCAGGATTTACAAGCATGTCAGAGATTCTACTCCAGTTTCACTTAGCTGGAACATCCCTAAGGAGAAATGCCCGAGAGAAACCCTGTGAGCGGCCACAGAGGCAGATGAGAGTTGATGGATTTTTCTCAAACGGATCAGCTCACAGGATCAGGACCGTAAACCTCAGCCGTTCTACACGTGGAGGGACATTTCCTCTGACGCAGGTTCTGAGCTGAGCTAGGTCAGAGTAAATCTGGAATCATTCATCTGTCTCCAAAAGAGCTTTCCTGGATGTACACCGTCAGAATGGAAATCAGAATCTGGGCCCGACGAAACATCCCTCCACAGCGAAAAGAGTTAAGGCCCTGTGAAAGTAGAAAGAATTATATTGTAAGAGAAAGTTGAATTATACTGTAATAGTCGAATAAGTTGAAGGAACACTGTCTCTGAATAGGAAAGAGGAAATTATGTTAATGTTGTTTGTAGGTATGCAGATCAGAGTGCTAGCCAGGTATGCCTGGGGTAACAGGAAAAGGAAACATTAGGTGTTAGGCAGAAAGTTATTGAGATAACCAGGGAGATATGGACAGGAGATTGCTGTGTGCTTGATATGGATATGAAGATACTTGACTAGCCTCATACTAATCATGTGAAGTTTTGCCACCTTACATTCTTGTTAATTTGGCTTTCTTTTGACTGTATAAATCAAGGGGTTTGACCCTTGTATGGGGCTCACATTCTCTGGGTGTATTAGCAGAGCGGCTTTGCTAATAAACAGAGCAGTCTGACAAATCTGTGAGTCCTGTCTGACTTTGACAGCCCATAGCCCTGTTCTGTTGGGATGCTGGGATTTGCCTGCAAAGACCAGCTTGCAGGATTAGGTTCAAGGATATTACAGCAAATTATTTCTATGAAGAATTGAAACCATGAGGCATCCAGGAGTCTTTTAGAAAATAATCCACATGGTTTGGTAAGCCGCATTTTACAACCGTTTGTGTGCGGGAAAGATCCTGGTTATCGACATCAACGTGGTCAAGCGATTTTTGGAATGATGCCATATAATTCCCTCCTTTTTAAAGTCGCAGCCTTTGTTAGCCCGTCCATTTCCTTTCCCCCCCACGAACACAATGAATACCATCAGTTTCCCTGTGTTAAGTGAGTGAAGGCTTTTACCCTGCTCCCCAGAGACACAGCTGAAGATCATTAAACCTTGATATACAGCACAGCCGAGCTCAGCTTTACAATACTGCTCCTGGAACTGCAAGCCGTAAAGCAGGGGAGTTCTTTAACAGGAAGTTGGCCACTCTAATCTCAGAGGGTTACCAGAAACACTTCATTTCCAGAGTTGCAAATCTTTTCTTGTCCCAGTATTGTGAGAGAGGTTCTGCTCACAGGGCCGCAGGTGCAATGCTAGGGAGATGCCAAAGAAGTCCGAAGGACTCCAGCCCTGCATTGGGAGCTGGCTGTAACTCATAGTTCTGACCGTTCTTTTCTGCACTGTTGGCTGACGTGGTTCAGTCATTTGCATTTTGTTTAAACCAGATGAGCTGCAAACAGGTTTAATTTGAAGGAAGGAAGTGGCTGGCAAGCCAGCTGAGAAACGAAAGTTACCAAAACAACAGGCAAATAACTGTGTTCTGCCTTTCTTCCATCAGAGCATTTCTTTTCTATCCAGAGTCCGGATACTGCAAGTGGAGTAACTCTTGTTCTTTCAGCTTTCGTAAACCAGTGTAGATCCTGTTGTTTATTAACTATACAAGTCCTATATCTTATCAGGAACATGAGGCTTGGAATACAGGAAACGTTTCCAAACTTGAGAAAACAGTAATGCTCTCTAACAACATAACTTGGTCAACATTTCCCTGAGCTTTCTGCCTCTTGCTGCATGTCTAGTGAATCATCAAATGGCAGGGATTACATTCAAATGTTTTTAGAAAGGACACAGCGATTCTTTTCATGAACTTTCTCAGATGATTCAGAAGCTTGGCTATCCGACAAATAAAAAAAGGCCACTCGTTATTTCTCTGCTAATACCACGCATTTAAAGCCAGAACCGATCATGGAAGTTTAACAGAACAACTTGACAGAGCTCAGCTGCTAGACGAGATATAAACCATATGTTTTACAGATGAGGATTTACTAGGCGTGCTAATACGGATTCTGAATTGTAGAGAGGGTTTTGATATGTACATCTGTGCACGCTAGCTTCGCTGGCACGGAGCGAGTTTAAGGTAAAGTGTTCGTAGAGCAGCCTTCTGCTCCTAAAATGTATACCCAGGAAAGGGTTCCCAGAAGCCGGCAGGAAAGGACCAAAATGATTTCAGATTTTCTTTGAGATCAAAGAGAAAGGCAGGAGGCTCGGGAAAGGGCAGCTCTCACAGCCCCCTTTTCTCACCTGAGGTATCATGAAGCAGCTAAATCGGGAGTGGGCCAGGTCTGCCCGCCAAGCCATTTGATCTCGCCCTGCTGTTCCCCCGCCCTCAGGCCAATCAAGACTGGGGGCGGGGGAGTATGTGAAGTTATTCACTGTTCAAAGCAGCTGGCGGCTCCCTCCTGTTGCCAGGGGCACACAGCGCCTAGAGGGGGCCACCAGCCATTTTGAACAGAGAATATCTTTGCATGTTCCCACTCCCCCAGGTCCCAATTGGCATGGGAGTGGGGGAGTGCAAGAAGTCCCCTGCCCTGTCAGGGGTTGGTGGCACCTAGAGGGAACTGCCAGCTATTCAAAACGGCCTGCGGTTCCCTCTAGGTGCCACTCATCTCTGGCAGGACGGTAGCAGGGGGCAAGGGACTTCGCATGCTCCCCTACCCCCAGACTCCAATTGGCTTGGGGATGGAGAGCACACAAAGTCTCCTTCCACTGCCAGGGGCGCACGGCATCTAAAGGGAACCGCCCCTTACTTCCCAAGGCCCTGCAACTTCTGGGAGAGCCGGCCCGTGACCACATACCAAAATTCGTAAAGTGGCCCCCCTGCAAAAATTATTGCCCACCGCTGACCTAAATTCCCTCTTTATGAGCTGAGCGACACTGCCAGAGATCAGCTTCTAAGAACAGCCAAGGAAAGGCCTTAGCTATTTAATTGTCTCCATGACTACTCCCGGGAGAATCGTAAGGGCCAGATTTTCATAAACTAGACATTCGAGTGTGCAAAAGGGCCCACTCGTACACTCAGGCACACAATTAGAGTGACCATCCCATTGTGCCCGGTTCTGCCTCATGAGGGCTCTTCCAACCTTAAGATTCTATTTGGGGCACCAGCCTATGAAACTCTGTGGGACTTCATGTGGGAGTATGCAGCTCCTCTTGTTCCCCTTGTGACTACTCACCTGAACGACTGCCCTGCTCAGCTTTACATGCCCGAGGCTCCCAGTCGGGGGCTTGTGGGGAAGGCCATCACTATGGGTAAAGTAAAAGAGAGCTAAGAATAGTCCTGCAGCACCTTAGAGACTAACAAAATATGTAGATGGTATGAGCTTTCGTGGGCACAACCCACTTCTTCAGATGAAGTGGGCTGTGCCCATGAAAGCTCATGAGCTCATTCGTTGTTTTGAAAGTTTTTTTCAATGACAGACTAACATGGCTACCCCTCTGAAACCAGAGAGCTAAGAGTAGCCTGGAAGTAGCTAGACTAGTTCTAGAAATAGCGATAGACAGATGAGTTAATATTTGGCACTTAGGGGATGCCCAAATTACACTGAAGTCAACATGGGCCTTTCCATTGACTTCAGTAGACTTTATGAGAGGCCCTTTGCTCGCACAGGCAGGGGCGGTGGGTATCATAGGCAAGGGAAGGCTTTGCCTTCCCAAGCTGCCAGTCTGGCCCTGCCCACACTCAGCCCCCCAAAATGCCTACTGGAGGCGTACTGGGGGCAGAGTGTGGCTGACCCCAGCGGCCACCCTCCCCAGTGCTCCAGGGCTGAGGCCATGTGACCTCTTCTGTCCCTGGTGGTCCGAAACCAGGAAGGCTGGGGTCATGCTCCCTTTTCCCTCCCTGGTGCTCCGGGGATGGGGAGACTGGGGCCACGCACCGTCCATCCTCCCCGTTGTATTGGATGGGAGGGCGCTGGGGCCATGTGTCTCCCCACCTCCTGTGGTGCTGGGGGCGGGGTCTGGGAAGAAGGGGCGGGGCTAGGGACCAGCCTCTCCCAGCCCTACCTTCACCCACCACCCATGAGCATAGACTAGAGTCTGAGGGCTAGCAGGGGTGGAGGTAAGAACTGGAGAGAGGTCATGGCAAGACCCTTGGAAGCATAGCTGGCGAGGGGGTTAATGCAGGGAAGGGAGGAGACACTAAATTACTGTGGAAATCGCCGAGACAGGCACAGATGGCACTGTGATTTTTTCTGCTGTCATAAGATCCTCTGACACAATTATCTGCCACGCAGCTAGTCACAAGTTCAGGCCTCGTGGCCGACCCATCAATGCTTAAGCTTGTTTGCTATTTTTAGGGTAAAAAATAAAAGACTTCTCCTCCTTCGGCTGGAGGCTCGAGTCGGCTGATCACAGAGACAGCCCCGGGACAGAACAGTTAGACAACAGCTCCCTGCTCGCTGCTCTCTAACGGGTTAGCGACCTTTGGCACGTGGCCCATCTGGTTGAGCCGGTGTAGGGCCGCAGGACATTTTGTTTACATTGACTGTCTGCAGGCATGGCCCCCCGCACTCCCAGTGGCCGGGTTCACTGTTCCCGGCCAACGGGAGCTGTGGGAAGTGGATTATTCTGATGGGCCAGGCGCTGAAGGTTGCTGACTTCTGTTTTATAACACAACCATTCCCACAAACTCTGCTTCAGCTGATGTGTCTAGGCACAGGGAACGGCTCGGCAGGAGAAGCCCCAGGGAATAGCTAGCAAGCCCTGAAACAGCACACTCCCACCCTTCCAGGGTCCTCTGAGCCCAGGACCCTTCTCGGGCAAATTGCAGAGTTTATAGAATCATAGAACCATAGAGCTGGAAGAGACCTCAGAAGATCATCAAGTCCAGCCCCCTGCCCAAGGCAGGACCAATCCCAACTAAATCAACCCAGCCAGGGCTTTGTCAAGCCGAGACTTAAGCACCTCTAGGGATGGAGACTCCACTACTTCCCTAGGGAACCCATTTATTGTATTAGGTGTTTCAAACAAAACTTTTAACCTAGAATAGGTTTTAGTGCTAAACCAGCAGTTTTCAAACTTTTTTTCTCATGACCCAGTGGAAGACAATTATTGATACCTGTGACCAAACATAATTTGACTGGAGTGTGGGCTCCAGGGTGGGGCTGAGGAGAGCTTGGTCTATAGGAAGGGGCTCCGGCTTTGGGGGAGGGGTCAATGGATGGGGCAGAAGGGGCTTATCTTGCGTGGCTCCCGGTCAGCGGTGCAGCAGGGGTGCTAAGGAGGCTGCTTTCTGCCAGTCTGGCACCACAGACCATGCTGTGCCCAGAACCAGCCGGCAGCAGGTTCCTAGCCAATGGGAGTGCAGAGCTAGTGCTCAGAGCAGGGGCAGTATGGGGAGCCCTGTGCACACACAGGAGCTGGGCCGGTTGCCAGCCGCTTCTGGGGCACAGCACAGGCTGCGGTGCCAGGACAAGCATCCCCCACTGGTTACCTGATCCCTCCCCCTGCAGCAACAAGACCCAGTGCCCGACATTCCACCACCCAGTCCTGGGTCGCGACCCGTCGTTTGAAAAAGCTGAACTAGAGCTCTGGAAAGCAAAAACGTCCCTGCCCCTCAATGCCGTGTGCCCCAGCCACAGAACTTCCACCCCCAGAAGCAGCTGCATTTCAGTGCCTTGCGCCTGCGCGAGTGCATCTGTATTTTATGAAAGGCTTTTGGGTTATCCATGTTATTTTACGTAGCAATGAAGTCACAACCTACCTGCTGCTGCTTCCATATGGGCCTGGCCACAGAGGAAACCAGTGATGCTCACAACCCTTCCTTCTTCTCCACTAAGACTGTCGAAAGCCCAGATTGGCCCTGGTGAGAGATGAACAGAAAAGGGCTTGATGACTCAGAGACGGACCCTAAAGCTCTTAGATGGATGCAAAGGAACACGGCCTTTTCCCTCTACATCTGCAAACCGCTAGATAAGAGCGAGGTATTAGTAGTCCCTTGGTCCGAGTTATAAACGGGACTCTTTGTTCAATCTAGAAATGTTATCAAGAAAGAATCAGGCTGAAGCTCATGAGGCCCGGGGAGACGTAATAAATCAGGCATTGAGTGCTGTACTCTGGCTAGGAGCGCAGGGCTGGGGGCAGTCTCAGGATCACTGCATTGACGTCACTGGTGCTGCACTGGGGGAGGGGGAGAGCTGACTTGGGGTGGTTAAAGTGCGGTGTTGTTTTTCCCCTCTCAGGACAGAGGTTTGGCTAGAAATGCTCATCCCCGCGGCAGTGCATTCAGGGAAGTCTGGCCTCCCTGCAGGGGTGTAAAAGCCAGAGGAATGACACTGGTGTAACAGGAGAATGAAGCTGAGCAGTGGAAGTCGGGTGTGCACAAAAGGACAGTGAGGCACCAGTGAGGGATTCAGCCTTTGGCAGGTGTAAATGTTTGTACTTTGGTGCCCTGACGCCGTGGGGATGGGCTTTCTATACTTGCCACAGAGCAATGGTTTTCAAACTTCTCTTCTGGTGACCCCATTGAAGAAAATTGTTGATGCTCCTACATAATTATATCTTTTGACTCAAGTGCAGGCTCTGGGGGGGAGGGGCAGGAATGAGAGGTCTGGAGTATGAGAGCGCACTCCAGGTTCAGGGGGGCAGAGGGTTGATGCTTGTGTTTGGGCAGGGGCTTACCTCCAGCAGCTCCCGCTCAGTGGTGCAGTGGGGCGCTCAGGCAGCTTCCACCACAGACCGTGCTGTGTCCTGGAAGCAGCCAGCAGCTGGTCTGGCTCCTAGGTGGAGGCGCACAAGTAGCTCTGCACACTGCCCTTGCCCACAGGCACAGACCTCTCCCCCCTGCTCCCATTGGCCGTGAATTAGCCAATGGGAGCGTGGAGCCAGTGCTCAGGTTGGGGCAGCGCATGGATCCCTGTGGCTCCCACCCCGCCAGGAGCCAGATCTGCTGCTGGCCGCTTGGTAATCCACAGTGCCAGGACAGGCAGGAGACCTGCCTTAGCGCCCCCACACCTCACCGGATCACCCTACAGCAAGGTGACCTAGTGCCTGCCATGGTGCGACCCCAGGCTGGGTCGCAACCTATCGTGTGTAAACCACTGCCCTAGCTCAATAACGGCCATGGATGGACTGGCGTGAATTGGCTGGAGCGGTGCTGGGGCAGTTCGCACAACTGGAAGACCCTCCGCCCCATGCTTATATGGCCACGGAAGGACAGTGTAGACAGAAAGACGTTATCGTGGGGATTCCTTTTTCCATCCTCCAGCTTCCGGTTCTCTCTGGGCATGAGGCCTGGTTCTCTGGGTCACAAGAAGGTAATTAGGTGCTGTTAGTGAAGGGCCAAGGGCCCAATCCTGCTCAAGGGCCTAATGAGCTGCATGCCCTCAGCTCCTGTTTGCTTTGGTGCAGCGGTTCTCAAACTGCGGGCCGTGACCGTGGTCTAATGGGGTCGCCAGCTTAGACTTGCTGGGCCCCGAGGCCAAAGCCCGATTCCCACCAGCCTGGGCCGAAGCCAAGCCCAAGGCCTTCTGTCCTGGGTGGTGTGGCTCAGATTACTGCCCTCGTCTGGGGCTGAGTCGCTTGGGCTTTGAGCCCCAAGGCCAGGGTGCTGGGACTTGGCTGGGATCAGGCTTTGGTGCTCCATCTGGGGCTCGTGTAGTAGTTTTTGTTGTCAGCCGAGGGGTCATGGTGCAATGACATTTGAGAACCCCGGCGTTAGCGGGAGCAGAAGGTGCTTGGCACCCACCTGGAGGCACTCAGCACCTCTCAGGGTTGGGCCCCAAGGACAAAACATACAGCTGATATTAGTGTCTGATCCCAAGTCGTCATAGCAACGCCTCGGCCCAGAACTGGAGGATTTTCACACCCAGCGTGACAACGCACATTGGGAAGACTCTATAACCAGAACCCTCCACTTCCATCGTTGAAATCATCTCTCGGCTCTGAAAGCGCAACTCGGGAATATGCTCCGGCTAGAAAAACAATTGGGCCGCTTTGGAAAACTAGCCGATCCTGGATGCTCAGTGGAGATTTCCTAGCTCCAAGCCTTCTGATTGACGACACGCTGATAAGCGGAGCCTTTGCAGGCACACATTTGCCTGGCTTTGCGATTTTGTGGTAATAAGGGATGGGGCAAGTTCGAAAGCTGTCCCCCCCCCCAAATCTCAGGGGCGATTGTCCTTCCAACCTTGCAAAGAGCGAGGGCAGCACAGCGACCCTGAGGCCTGCTCCCTGAGGGTGGGATGCCAGGCATTACCTCCGCTCTGGTAAAAGGGGCTTTGAGGTTGTTTGGGGAAGCCTAGTTCATGAGTTTAAAACCTTCCCTCAGGCCACACTGTATATTTGTCATTTGCACCACGAGGAGGGGCTGGGCCAGTCCAACAAGGGCCTTTGCTAGTGTGTTACGTGGAGTCATCCCTTTTCCAAGCTAGATGCCACAGGCAAGCGGCTCTGAATCCTACCCATCTCTTTATAGTGGCTTTGCAGTTTTATTTAACCGGCTTTGATTAATGATTGATATTGTTCTCCTCTGGAAAGCCCCTCCCCCGACTGCCCTCACGAGCTGTGAGAGAACAAAAATAAATTACTACCTGCAGGCCCCAGACCTCACAGAGAGGAGACAGGGCCTCATTCATCCCAGGGCTCACGAGAGCCATAAAGGGGGACTTTCCGAGTGACACATTAAGGTCTGATGTGCCTTGCAGAGTGTCATTCTGCTGCACAGCTTCAAAGCCCTCTTCTCCCTCCTCTGGGAATTGCCCCATAGGAAAAATGTTACCTGGCGAAGGCTCCCTTCGATGTTTTTAGTTCTTCTTCACAATAGGTTCCTTCTAGAGTCAGAGCTTTTGCCCCCGTTGCCAGCTTTGTCCACATATTCATTCTGCTGATACCATTATTGGACCTAACCAAGTGAGTTATAAGATCAAGAACACATATTCCTGCGCATCCAGAAATATAATCTATGCTATCATGTGCCGAAAGTGTCCGTCTGCTATGTACATTGGACAAACATCTCAGACACTTCGCCAAAGGATTAATGCCCACAAAACAGATATCAGACAAGATCACAAAGAGAAAACAGTTTCTTGCCACTTTAACCAGAAAGGACACTCTCTAAATGACTTAGCCACCTGCATTCTGCTACAAAGACCTTTTACATCTGCACTTGAAAGGGAATCCTCTGAACTGTCATTCATGTTAAAATTCGACACTTGCCAACAAGGACTTAACAAGAATTTGAACTATCTCACCCATTACCAAGACAGTTTCCCCAATTATCACCTGTAATACCATTAACTCACAAACATCCCACTCTCCCTACCTTTAATATCATCAATTCACAGACACTTACCTTCCTTCCTCCCCCCCCCCCCCCCCCCCGCATCCCCCTTCTGTTCTGCAATGTGATTTGTCCTTTTCATATTTGTTCATTTTTTTAATTGTATCCTTTGGTATATATGGTTGTGACTACTTTCTTTCACTATTTGATCTGAGGAAGTGGGTCTGGCCCACGAAAGCTCATCATCTAATAAACCATCTTGTTAGTCTTTAAAGTGCTACATTGTCCTGCATTTTGCTTCAACTACCCCAGACTAACACGGCTACATTTCTATCATTATTCTACAGGGCTAGGAAGCCATTCACAGGCACTGATTAGTTGCATGACAGAGCAGCGATGGTGATTCACAGATATTACAGGCAGGCTGGAGCATGTCCAGAGAGCTATTGATCCTGGGTCAGAAAGATTTAAGAGCTCAGGGCCCCATGGTGCTTTTGCTCACGCTGGTGTCCAACCACGCAGCCAAATGAAGTTACCCCTCAAGTTCAGTGAGATGAATTATCCCGCAGTTAATCTCCAGGCTCTTGCTATTCTCAGTTTTACTAATGGCCAAGTGTAATGGAGCTATTTCCAGGCTGTAATACTATTAAACACTTCCCAATTATCTTCTGGTTCCTGATAAAATATTCTCAGAGGACTCGTTATTCCAGCCTCTAGTGACCCAGTTTTCCCATAAGCCATGCTGAGGATCGAACCCTAATCCCTAGGGCTCGTTAATCCACATCATCAGAAATGCGCCCTGACTGCAAGCTTTGGAGCAGGGAAGGGCTAGGCTAGGCTTAGAAGGGCATGAAGGACATTAATGGTTAAAGGCACCTCGGCAGGACACCACTGGCGGTTCAAAGGGCTGGCTTACTCCAGCTCCGGCCACTGTCCGTGTCCTGTGACATCCCTGGTAGCAGGCGCTATTCCTCATATACTCTGCAAACACAGGGCGCAAAGCTCACCTCCCGCCTGACCGCCAGGGGTTGGGCTTTGTGAAAAACAAAATGAAGATGTTCAGCGCAGGCCTTCCCACCCGCTTTTTCATTTCACCCTCAGGATGGCGCAGCCCCCACACTAACTACCCAGGAAGCCTACCTCCTCCAACCTCCTCGTATCCACTCAATTCCCAAACCCAGCGCACAAGGCGAGGGTGTCTTGGGCAAACCCTGTTCCTATCTCAAATCCATCATCTCGCAGGAAAGCTATTGGCTGGTGTGTACTATGGACAGATACGGGGGAAGTTATTACCAGCGTTCCCTCTCCGTTTTTCCATCCATGCGTGGCGCGAGTTCTGTCACCTGCGCCAATGTTGAGGTCACGTGTGCTTGTTCGGATGTCTGGCGCCTGCTACTTACGAACAAAAATCATCTCCGTGTAAAATGTTACGGGAGAAGAAAGAATACCGAAACAAGGGATAATTAACAAGATGCGTGACTATAAATGTGATTTAATTGGAAATCAAATACAAAGAAAATTAATACTGCAAAATTGTCAGTGGCCAGTTGGCATCTGATGAAAAAGGGGTCTCCTCCTGTTGTCTTTGCCAGGGAAGTAGTGTTGACGGCATTGGGGCCTGAGCTGGCCAGGATTGGGCTAGGCTGGTGTCACGGGCTTTGGGTGAAGGTAGGGTGGGGGAAGCAAGCCCCAAGCTCCCCACCAGCCCCACCCCTTCAGCCCAGGCCATGCTCCCCATGGGAGCCAAACCCCTCCCCCTGCCTGGAGCACCATGGGGAGGTAGGGTGTTGCATGTTCCCAGCCCCAGAGAGGGCGGGGCAGCATGTGGCCCCAGCCTGCCTGGCCCTGAGGCACAGGGAGAGAGGGCGCTTAGGGGCAGCAACACTCCGCCCCCAGTACACCTACAGTAGGTGCTCTGGGGGCGGAGTCTGGGTGGGGCCACACGGGCACTTTGGGAAGGCTGTGCCTCTCCTACCCGCCACCCCTTGCTGTTGGGACAGATGTTTTAAACTGTTTTCAACCACTGGCTAAATGTTCTTGAATGGACTCACGTGTGAACACTCTGTGCACGTATTGCTCCCTATTACCTAGGAGGCTGGATTTTTTTAACATTCCAGTTCTGTTTACATCTCTCGAGATGATTTGCTTTGCCGTTCCTCCAAGCTGGCGTGATTCTGCTCTGGGGAAAGACCGAGGAACAAAACCCTTCTGCATATTTTCTTCGTGGATTTTTAGTTCTGCACCTAAGCAGTGTCTGAGGAACTTGGGTGGACAGCAAGCTCCAGCGTTTTAGCACCGTCTCAGTCTCAGCTCTGAACGGCTCTCTCTGGTTTATGGGGGCTTCCTGCCTTGTGCTCTGAACAGCAGCCAGGCAGCCGGAGTTACCTGGGGGGGCAGGTGTGGAGGGGACAGGTAGGTGCCATTTTTACTCAGAGCAGCCCAGCACCTGGGAGGGCTGCCTGGGGCGGAGGGGGAATGGAAGGGACAGGGGGAGTGGAGGAGGGGTGCTGCTTCTATTTGCAGGCCCACTCATAGAGGGCAGGCCAGCTACTGGGGCTGGCTGGAAAGGAGGAGGTACCGCGTCTACAGGTACAGTGACAGCAGCTGGAGCTGCCAGAGAGAGATGGACTCTCAGAAACGCCTCTTCCTCTGCCTCCCGACCCACCCGACTCCCCCCACCCACAGCTTCCCTTTTCCCTCCTTTTCCTCCATCCACAGGCTCACGCCTCAGGCGGGGGAACTCATTCCTGCAGGCACTCTGCACCGCTCCACTAACGAAGTGGGCAGGTCTTCATTGCTTCCAGCTTGGCCGCTCCACCGCGCGCTTTACAGGGAACTGTGGTTATCACCCCCACCAAACAGGATCACTTTTGTGAAAAGGTGACCTTCTCCCACGCTATTTACAGCATCCGTCTGAAAACGGCCACCCTCTCCGGCTCTGCGTCCGCACATGGCTTCCGGGTCCTCAGGAGAAAGCGGCAGCTCTGTGTCATCAGGCAGGTGCACCCGGTGAGGCAGCTGAAAAGCCAAGAAGATAAACGTGGTTCCAGAAATAAACACAAAGGCTTCAAACAGAATAAAGCTCAAAGGCTCTCCTTGGCCGTGTCTGCAGGACACTGTGCCCAAGGAAAACCACAGGTGACAGGGCTCGTGTCTTCCCCGGTCCCCTTTCTCCCCAAGGGTGAGACCTATTACCAGTCCACGAAGTGCTGATGACACCCAGGGGAGGCAGCGGGACCCCACCAAGTGGATTGTATTATCTCTGGATAAAGGGCCAGGAGCATCTCCAGGGAAGCACAGCCCCAACGGGAGAGGTCTGTGGCGTCTTTATATCACGGCCCTCACTAACAAGTAGAGCAATCGCTGGGGCAACTCTAATTTATGGCAGCTTCCGGTAGCCACCTCTGAGCTCCGGCGCCGCAGCGCAGAACAACAGGCATTCAGAGTGACTGATGACACTACCTCCTTGTCCCTGACAGGCCTGCCTCTCATTCCCAGCATCCCCCCCTCTCCGGGGCTGCAAGAGGGAGGGGGTATAATCAGCCCTATCTTGCCCAGAGAACTGGGAGGAATCCCAGTTTTCCGGGCCTGTTGCACGGTGCCAGCAGCAGAAAGGGGTAAGACACGGCCAGGAATCGGGACCCATCAGCTTGCCCTGATTAGCAATAAGCTAGAAGGAAACAGACTAGAAAGGCCCATGGCCGGGAATCCCTCACTGTGATCACCTCCCAACAAGAGGCCACGTTGGCTCTAGGGCCCTGTCGGGGGTTGGCGGTGTTCAGATTTCAACAGACTTCTCTGGGCACCTACCCCACAGCCACAAAGCATTCGGGACACCTCCGGGCCCAGGCCTGCAGCCCTTCCTTAGCTGAAACGCCGCTTGATCTCAAGGGCTATTTTGTCTTGTGCGCACAGGTGGAGTCAAAAGCAGCCAGAGGGATGCAGCCTCTGCATAAACCGCATAATGGAAAACCTCTATGTTTTCAATGGAAACTTGTCTACTGCCCCCGAGCGAGGGCCTGTGCCTCTCGACAAGCACCGCACTCGGAACGGGAGAGCTGCATGACACCCAGTTAGCGCTGCCAGACGGTTTCAACAAAAATACCGGCCACGCTGGACATGACATCACAATCTACATTACATCGGATTGAGAAAATACCGGACATTTATGTTTTCTCAATGTGTTTCCCGAATAGAAAGCTCAAACACTGGACCGTCCGGTTCAAAAACGGACACCTGGCAACCCTACACCCAGCAAAACAGCATCACCCTTCTGGATTCAGATAAGAGGCCTCTCAGAACTCTGCTTTCCATTTGCCAGTGGCCGTGGGGAACAAAGGCTTCCGTTGGCCGTTCGATTTACAGCAGCAGGCCCATGCAGTGTGGGAACGGCCCCAGCTTCCCTCCCCTGTGCCCTGGCTGGCCGGGGAAAGACAGAAGCGGCGCATTGCGCTAACCTCCCACCCCCGTGCACCGCTTAGGGGAAGGCTGGGGCTGATTTCCAACCCCCTCTCCCAGGAGCAAAGCCAGGGCAGGGTTGGGCCAAGAGGGCGGGGCAGCCACCAGCCCCTGAGAGCTCGCACACACCCCTCCCCAAAAATTCCTGCATACAGGCCTGAGCAGTGTGCGCTCCCATGGCTGGTCATGGCCAGAGATCAACCCAAGTCTGAGATGGCAGCTATCGAGAAGCAGGGATGGGGGCTCCTAGGATGAAGTCCCTTGGCTTTGACAGTGACGGGAACACTGTTAACAAAATCCCTGGGGAAGGTCGGTCACAGAGGCCTACAGAGCAAAAGCCGAGCATTTTGTGAGCACGTTAATCACATTGCAGTATCAACCCGTTACGATTGTGCTTAGAGAACCAGCACACAGCTGGGCCCATGCAATTTAATAAGGGTTAACAGCGGCTTATTGAAAAAAAGCTCAACCAAGACAGCTCTGAGGTTTGCTCAATGAGCAAGGCCGGCTTGTTCCAAGGACATTCCAGTTGTGTAAACCTATCCATCCAGGTGCTTCTCAGTACCTCTACCCGACTCTCCATGCTCTTGTCTTCGTCTACCCCACATGCATCACAACACTGGGGCACTGCAAAGAAACACAGGTGGTGTACAGCGACCATTGCTCACGGCTCTTGAAATGCAGCCTACTCTGGGGCGAGACATGCCGCTGTTTAACAGCACACAGAAACAAACAGACCAGGGAGGACAGGAAGTGAGAACTTCCTGTCCAAGAGAGCCCGGAGGGAGTATTTTAAGCAGTAGTCGAGTGGGAACTTAGCTAGTACACAACGGGCTAATGTTTCCCTTTTTCGTGTGAAAAATGTCCTAGACTCTGCAATGCCCCTCAGTGGCCAGATTTTTGTTCTATGCAACTTGAAAGCTGCCTCCCTCTATGAAGTGGCAGTGGTAGGCCGTGCTGAGGCGCAGGTTCAGTGCTGGCTTAGGAGGAAGAGTGCAAACGACTTAGCAACGGCCACTACTTCGCAGTGAGAACAAGGCAGTTGACCATGATTTAAGAGCCTTGGCAATCAACAAACCAGAGCAGGGAACGTCTGGAACAACCCAGCTGGGACTGGGGCGGGGGAGCAGTCACCACATCTAAACAAACGAATGTTTTCTCAGTTAGCGGCAAGCAAATCTGGAGCCTCAAGCCATAATCTTCGCAAGGGAAGCGGAGTAATTTTTAGATTTATAAACAATTCTGCCTCCTGAGATTTGTCTGTGGCCATTGATAATGTTCATTATGTTTGGAAAGCCTCACAGGGCTTGGATACCAAACCCTTTGCACTAATGCCTCGTTATTGGTTGCACATACTATAGGGCCGGTGGGGTACAAATGGCTACTAGTGATAGCGTGTCAGAGCTCTGTGGTACCTTCTCCTATTTCACAAACACACCACTGGGTCACAGCCAGTGGCCTGGAGCCTGTCACCACATGATCCGTCACATCCAGGGCCTGCAGAACTTTGCCTGGCAGCTACAGAAGCCCCATTCAATTGGCTTGATAAAACTTCTTCCATCGTGGGTCAAGGTCTCCCACACTAAACAACCCATAACACAAGAACTAGGAGTCACCAAAGGAAATTAATAGGCAGCAGGTTGAAAACAAACAGGTACTACTTCACACAACACACAGTCAACCTGTGGAACTCCTTGCCAGAGGATGTTGTGAAGCCTAGGACTTTAATGGAGCTCAAAAAAGAGCTAGATAAATTCATGGAGAATAGATCCATCTATAGCTATCAGCCAGGGTGGGTGGGAATGGTGTCCCTAGCCTCTGTCAGAAACTGGGAATGGGTGGCAGGGAATGGATCACTTGATGATTCACTGTTCTATTCCTACTCTCTAGGGGCACCTAATATTGGCCACTGTTGGAAGACAAGATACTGGTCTAAATGGATCTTTGATCTGACCCGGTGTGATCGTTCTTATGTTCTAACCCCCAACGCACAATGCAGCATGCAAACTATAGGCCTCTGCTCAGGCTCGGGACCTCTCTCCCTTCTTTAGCAATGCAATCTTCACTCACACAAGCAGTCCCCTTGTTGAAACACAACCCTGGTGTCCAAACGTGACCGCGGTGTCCGAAAGGAGCAACAGCAAGTAGCCTGAACTCCACACTCCAATCACTTCAAATGAAGTGGAATTCTCTGAGTGCAATAAAAAAGTGAGGGCATATACACACGCACCTCCTGAGAGGGCAGGCCCAAGGAATGACATGCACACAGGGCATTTTCTGATGGGAAATTCCCTGAGCTTTTCAATAACCAACAGTGAGGGAGCCAAGGAGAGGAGGCTGTGACCACTCAGAGCAGAAACCTCAGGAGAGCCTTTACCTTAGCAGTCACCAGGAAGTCCTAACCCGTGCCCCTCAACTTGTCTCTGCAGAGGCACCTCAGAAGAATCTCCATTGCAGATAAGAAAGGAAACAGCCAGCCTTCTTCCTGGACCAGATGTGGTTGAAGGACTAAAAGAAACCACGGTTAATTGATTGAAAGGAAGAAGCTGATTCAGATCCAAATGTTCAAGTATTT